ATGTGTTGTGCTAATGAATAGATTTCTACTGCGACTTTCTAAGTAGTAAGTACTAGGTAAAGTTGGGTGAAAAGTAAGGTGTGAAAGGTAAGTAAGTAATAGTATGTACTGCTGGCGCTTATATAGCGCGCCTAAGCGCGCTCATGCGGAGCCGAAGCGCTACCGAGTAGGTATGTAAAAATATATATGAGTGAGAAACTATGATAAAAATAAAGGTGGAACTATGCTAATAAAGGAAATGGAAATATACGCACTAGGGAGCTTGGTGGACAGTGGATGGATGCATCTGGATGGCTGGCGCTATAGGGCGCGCAAGCGCGGGAACGCGCGCGCGCGTATACATCGTGAAGCGCGGGAATGGTGCGCGCATGGCGCGCGTTGCGCGGGAAAGCTGCGCGTCATATAGGAATCACTGTGGATGGTACACAGAGTGATGCTGCGAGTTTGTGCTGTATACTTCCTAGTGAAACCTGCCATATCACACCATGAGACACACGAGTCTCTACACCGATAGACGTTGTCACGGACCATAAGAACCTTGAGTATTTCTCTACCACAAAACTCCTCTCTCGCCGTCAGGCCCGCTGGTCGGAATTCCTCCATCAGTTTAACCTCGTCATCCGTTTCAGTCCCGGAAAGCTCAGAGCTAAACCGGATTCCCTTACTAGACGCTGGGACGTCTACCCCAAAGAGGGGGATAAGGACTACGCTCGAGTCAATCCTCATAATTTCCGTCTGTTATTCACTTCGGAACAGTTAGCTTCGTCCCTTCGAGCTTCAACTCTAGTAACTCCGGTTCTTAGGGCAGCTGTTCTGATTGATATCGACCAGCTCTGGAAAGACATCCTGACCGCACTTCCCACCGACCCTATCACATCCGAACATCTTCCGGAACCTTCGGGTCCGAGATGGACGGTAGATGATAGTGGTTTCCTCCGCTGCGACAACCGTATATATGTTCCGGAATCTAATAACCTCCGTCTTCGCGTCCTCCAGAATACTCATGATCATCTGTTGTCCGGACACTTCAGACAGAATCGGATGTTAGACCTCATCCGACGCGAGTACACTTGGCCAGGAATCCGCACCTATGTCAAGGACTATGTCAAGTCCTGCACTTCCTGCGGCCGAGCTAAGGTTCCGAGACACAAACCCTACGGATTGCTTAAGCAGCTTCCCATACCGGAAAAGCCTTGGAATTCTATATCCATGGATTTCATCGAGCATCTTCCAGACTCATCCGGCTTTACAGCCATCCTCGTCGTAATCGACCGTCTATCCAAACAAGCTATATTCATCCCTACCCACGACACCATTACCTCTCCGGATCTCGCTCATCTATTCGTCCTCCATGTGTTTTCCAAGCACGGAGTTCCATCCCATGTCACTTTGGACCGAGGAACAGAATTCGTATCGCATTTCTTCCGGTCCTTAGGAAAAGCATTAGATATGGTCCTCCACTTCACGTCCGGATATCATCCGGAAGGAGACGGACAAACCGAATGAGCGAACCAAACCCTTGAACAATACCTCCGGATATACTGCAACTATCAGCAGGATAACTGGTCGGAACTACTTCCCTTGGCAGAATTCGCTTATAACAACACTCCGAGTGCTACTACCGGAGTATCTCCCTTCTTTGCCAATAAGGGATATCATCCGAACCTATCCGTTCATCCGGAACGTGACCTCTCATCCGCCCGCACACGAGACTATGCAATAGACCTTGACGAACTCCATCAGTTCCTCCGAGAAGAAATGGCCCACGCACAAGAAAGATATCAAGGACCTGCGGACGCCAAACGGAAACCCGCTGTAGAAACAACAATACTGAGAGGAACAAAGAAATGCTCCTGACTGTATCTAAAAAGTTGTAGGTCGTGCGTTGCCTAGTCTGCTATACTTGAAAGGACAAGTGCATTCGACCCTAAAGGGGAAGCAGGTGCAGCGGAGATCTAGAGGTACGCGCTTCAGCGAAGCGCGAGAAAGCGCAGGTGCGCGCAAGGTACGAAGGCGCGGGAACGCGCGCGCGTATTAGCGCGAAGCGCGGGAAAGCGCGCGCGTGTAAGCGGAAATAAGAGAGACTAAACTTATGTGAAGATATAAGCAAGATAAAGGATGTGAGATGTGTTGTGCTAATGAATAGATTTCTACTGCGACTTTCTAAGTAGTAAGTACTAGGTAAAGTTGGGTGAAAAGTAAGGTAAATAATAGTATGTACTGCTGGCGCTTATATAGCGCGCCTAAGCGCGCTCATGCGGAGCCGAAGCGCTACCGAGTAGGTATGTAAAAATATATATGAGTGAGAAACTATGATAAAAATAAAGGTGGAACTATGCTAATAAAGGAAATGGAAATATACGTACTAGGGAGCTTGGTGGACAGTGGATGGATGCATCTGGATGGCTGGCGCTATAGGGCGCGCAAGCGCGGGAACGCGTGCGCGCGTATACATCGTGAAGCGCGGGAATGGTGCGCGCATGGCGCGCGTTGCGCGGGAAAGCTGCGCGTCATATAGGAATCACTGTGGATGGTACACAGAGTGATGCTGCGAGTTGGTGCTGTATACTCCCTAGTGTAAAGCGCCATATCACACTATGAGATGCACGAGTCTCTACACCGCTCCGGATATGAAAATCGGAGATCCGGTCTTCGCCAAAGCAAAATACTTCCGATCCACCCGTCCATCCAAGAAACTCTCGGAAAAGAACTTAGGTCCGTTCGAAATCATAGCTTGTCCGGGCACACATTCTTTCACCATCCGACTTCCAGATTCCATGCACTCCATACACCCAGTTTTCCATGTCTCGCAATTAGAACCAGCCACACTCAATACCATTCTTAATCGTATCCAATCGCCTCCACCTCTGGTCGAAGTCGACGGAGAACCCGAATATGAGATATCCGAAGTTTTGGACTCAAAATTAGACCGTCGGAGAAGACAATGTCAACTCCTATACCTCGTCCGATGGTCCGGATATGAAGGAACGGACGAAGAGACTTCATGGTTACTTGCAACGGAGCTCGGAAACGCATCCGAACTAGTTTCGGACTTCCACGCTGCATATCCGAACAAACCCGGTCCTATTCAACTTTGAAGTACATGGTGTGCATACGAAATACAAGTACATTTAGAGAAGAAACAGAAACGGACCAGAAATTCCTACATCTCCATAGACCCATCCGCCTCTCCGGATCCGCCTGCATCACTTCCGGACGCCTTTTCCATCACCTCATCTTCCTCCTCCTTCCGAGCCGCAGCTTCAGCGTCCACTAGTTGCTGTTGAAGTTCCAGCAGTTTCTGCTTAGCAGTCTTCTGAGATCCGGAGGTGTTGCCAGACATTTTCGATAGAGCGTTATAGAGAGTAAAAAGTGGGAAAGGAAGAATCATCCTGGGACGTCCGTCCTTGAGTATACCTGTCCGGTTCCGAACTCAGACGCTTCTCCCATTAACTTCTCCATCATCTCGCGATAATCTCGTCCGGTCCGGACCGATGGTTCTTGTGCCTCTAGGGATCGGCCCTAAGGGGGGGATACTGTCATATCCCATATATTCACGCTTCTCTTCCGGACTTTGGACCCTGAGATCCGATCCAGTCCGATGTATAGATCCGCTTCCAATCTGATTTACGATAAGCTTTCTAATTCATTTCCTGTTCATATAACGTTAAACACAGCCTATTCGGTATTTCCTCTTCCCGGTGTTTCGGTTATACTTATTACCGGTATGATTACTGATCCGTTAACCTATGTCTCATTTCTGACTCGCGTTTGATAACCTTTGCACATGCTTCGTACATAGCCTCGGACCTTTGCTTACTGATACTTCCGTTATCCTCATAGTATATAAACTCGTGTATATGTCCTGTAGTACCTCAGTTCAAATATCATCTTAGTTTGTCCTCTTTCTGTCCTCCGGACTTGAGTCCTTCTTACTCTTGTCACCCTCCGAGACTTCGGATAGATTCCGATAGTCTATATCCTCAGCTCTACCTTCGGGTAGTCTTACTCTGTTAGTTTCTAGTTCGGATACGTCCGGATTAGTCTTATATACATTTCCGATATCCGGAAGACATCCGGATATACTACGAGACCCGTCCGGACCTTCGGACGCGTTATCGTTAGTACTTTGAAATAAGGGACAGTACTTGGGAAAGGGGCACAGCGTACGAGCTGAGGCCGAAGTCCTTCGGATCCGATCCTACGAGAGTATGACCTTAACACCATAGCCTCGTACTGTGCTGACTGATTCTCCATTAAGTCCTCAGTAATATATAAACCCTGTAGATTCTATGTAGTTCTTTAGTTCAAATATTATCTTAGACTCTGCTCATTCCCTCCTCTGTCCAACTTGAGTTTCTCCTCTCATTGTCCTCCATTAGTCTTAGGATTGACTCCTATAGACTTCTCACCTCCACCTCTACCTTTGGTAGTCCTCCGCTGTTTCCTTTCTAATTTGGACATCATCCAGATTAGTCTTATCACCCATTCCCTAATGTCTGCCGGAATTCCTGCACATCGGACATCAGACTCCGGGCATCATCCAACAACCTTCAGACATCATTCAACAGCCTTCAGAAGTTAGGGGCATGTACTTGGGTAAGGGGTGCAGCACATGAACTGAAGCCAAGTCCTTCATATTTGACCCTTGAGCACATTCTTAACAGTAACATGATGCCTGGCCAATGAGAAAACAAGTGCTTTTTGACAAATGCAAAATAAATGATATAATTCTCTTATTATTAATATGATTTCACAATGCTTCTCTTGATGCACTGGATTGTGTCGCAAATTTCCTAAATCGATTGTAATCAGGAACCATTGACATCATGTTACAATGATGTTTACAACCCTCATGTAAGCTTGATGGCGGGGTCTCAATCTATTACAATGCGCTTACAACATGATTGATATGGCTTCAATCCCCCCTTACCGCCATTCTTAAGTGCTTCCCTCTTGTTTCTGTTGAAATTCATATACATTACATATCTGTTGGTGACATGGGTCCTGAAAGGACGAAATTCTGCGATCTATGCCAGCAGGACCTCAAGCCATGCGGTTGGACCACCCATCACAAGGCCTATGAGAAGAAGGCCGAGAAACAGCACCAGAATCAAATCATGGTGGAATCCATTCAAAGGCAAAATTCAGGTGCAGCAGCAGGTACACACTCATTTTTATCTTGGTCTGTTAACTATTTAAATTGGCTGACACGTCCAGGTTCCTCAAATCTGAGATGTGCGAGGGATGAACACGTTGTTAATGCTGCAGGAAAGAGATGTAAGTCTCATTGGATCCTTTATGTTTTACTGTTGTTATGTTGCAATAGGAGAGTGTGAAGCCTGGAATGAGATAGACAATGACACGGGGCACATTGGTATGTTTGTGATCGTCATATTGTAACATATTTACATTCACAAACTACCCTTAACAGATTTTCCTGACGCAGATGTCCCTGAGCATGTGGAACCCACTTTCGAGGTTGACAACATCATGTGCGAATACCATCCAAGCAGTAAGATCCCACCCAAAGTCCATGCATTTTATGATTTCAAATGCCATTCAACACCACTTGCATCCTCTGCCCTGCCTAACATTCGCTGAGCTTGTGCTGGAGGCTTGCTTGAATAACGAGCAGACTGATCGTCTCATCAAACTTTGCAACCGGTGCACTTCCCGCCAAGAGAAGTTCACATTTCAGACACACAAGGACTTTCGCGACAGGTGGGACACTGCTTCCTATCGCATTACAGGGGTTGTTTCCATCTTTCTTTTTAATGTTCAGCTTCTGATGATCCTTAAGTTGTTTACTAAAGACGTGATCTCGGCACCATATGATGGTATGATACAAGAGTTTGATTTGCATTATCAGAATCTCTGGGAGTGGGCTATCGACCTCCTTCATGATCCTTGGCTCTTTCTGCACATGGTATTTGATGTGCAACAATGCTCAAAGTTCAATGGCAAGGAATTCATAAATTTTGTAGATGAATCATACACTGCTGAAGCTTTTTGGAATATTCAAGTATGTAACACTGCTGTAGTGATTTTAGTTGCCTTCATTATTTGATCTATTATTTTGTTTCATAGTCTCAGCTACCAGATGGTGCCAAGCTGCTAGCTTTCATTCTCTATGCTGATAAGACTAAGTTGTCCTCATTCGGCACCGCAAGAGGTTACCCTGTTGTTGCTCGTCTCGCAAATCTGCCTACCAAAATTTGCAATAGTCAGGGTATAGGTGGTGGCTATGTCGTCGGATGGCTTCCAATTGTATGGAATGCATTTTCATTTAGTGGTTGACACTGATTCTATTTTGAATACTTTTTCTACGTGAAGGAAGAGAAAGACCATGCTGGTAAACCAAGCTGGGTCAATTTCAAGAATGCAGTTTGGCATGAAGCATTCTTGAAGATTCTCTCTCTGTTAGCATTGAGATCTAGCATGGGACAATGGTTTTAATGTCTCAACGACCTTCAACACTGGTTCTTTCCTCTGATATTAATTTTATCAGCCAATTATGAAGAACAGTGAGTGTATTTGATTCAAAACATGTACATGTTACTAATAAGTTACTTGTATTCAATATTAGATGTGTTATGTCGCTAACTCAAAGGATCAAATTGTTGTGGCCATGCCCAGTTTGTCTCGTTCCCCACAACAAGCTTTTAAATACTTTGAAGATGTATCCTTGTCGAATTTCCAATCAGTCACAGAACATCTTGAAGGTTGCACGGGACAAGGAGACCACTGAAGAGAGAGAGAACATGCTCAAACAATATGGACTTTGTGATGTCTCAGTGAGATAACTTCCACTATCTGATATATCGATGTTTTCTACTAATTTAACACAACCATTTTATTAGAATGCCTTTTGGACTGTCATGTTCATGTGTGTACATAATGCACTCTCGTGGAATAGGCTCCATTTTAACAGGGGCCTGTACTGCGATCATCTGTGGGCCGAACTGCAAAAAATAATCACTGGTTTGGGGAGAGCAAGTGTAGCTAAGATAGACAACAAGTAAGTGGTCATCTCTAATTGAAATGTCTATGTTTTCATTTTGATGCTAGTTACAAGGCATTTCCATGGTGGCGAAATCTGAAGCATTTAGCGCAAGTTATGAGCATTTCATTCAGTGATAGTAGCGTGTATGAAGATATTTCCCAGGTATGTTTCTTATATTTGTATATCCTTATTAGTAACTTGCGTTTAGATGGTGATATATGCTGCACATACCATCATCACTGAGGATGAGTGTCCACTCAGCTACCACTTACTTCATTGCATCCACCCTCTTTATTGAAGTCGATATGTATTCAGCGCTCGAGGTTCACACAACTGACACTATCCATGCAGGCCAACACGCTGTGAAAGTGTTCTCAATGTATCTACAGGTACATTTTCTTGATTGATCCTCAAAAATTGTTCATTAATAGAATAATAGCAATATATAACAAAAATGGCCGACAACAGTGACAAGAACTGGAACTTTCCAAAATTGCACATGAGTGTGCATATCTTCGATGATATTGAAGCCAAAGGAGCAACCCACAACTACAACACAAAGCCGAATGAGAAGATGCATGGGTCACTGAAAGACTCATATTTGATGCACACCAACTTCAGGGATGTCGCACCACAGGTAAGACTTAATTCTATCAATTATTCAATAATTTCATGCTACAATATTTACAGATTCTTCGCATCAATCATTGACAAGTCGTAGCTGAGAATATTTGCCACAACATATCCGACTTCGATGAGTATCAGTTACAAGACATCGAAGATGCACTGGACGAAGACAATTTTGTGGTGGATGATTTGGTTGTTTTGAACGACTCCCCTCATGTAAAGCTTGGGTCCAGACAAGCTCCACAGACCTTTGAATCTGCTGAGAACACTCACAAGGATGATGGCGCATTTACTAACTTTCATATCAAGCTCAATGACTTTTTGACTAACTTTTTATTAGTGATTCAAGTCCCTCTATCAGGTGGAAAGTGGGTCCAACTCAAAGCAAGCAATAAGGTATGATCATTGTTCAGTTTGGCTGTGTTCTACTATATTGATATGGAGGGATAGATTACTGAGTGCTGGTTCTTGAAAGTCAACTATGAGTCATTGGTAGATTGTCGCCAACACACCGACTACCTTTGATGCAACCCCAAATTCTTTGAGGCTCCATGCTTTGATTGTGTATTCATCCAGATGACCGACAACATCATATTTGGTCACCTGCTCTTCGTTTTTGAATGCACAGTGGAGGATACAGTCTTTTCTCTCACTCTTATTCACTCATTTGATGCTCCCACTGGTGTGCACATCCGAAAGGACAAGCATCTCAACATCTTTCGTGTTCGAGCGAGACTCCGTGCACAGGCTGAGTTTTTTCAATAAGGTCGATCATCCACGGAGCTTTCCTAGTGCCAGATGGTAGCCACGACTACCTTGTCATCGACACTGTTGATACCGACATGTTTCTTCACATAAAGGTGCTACACCATGAGGCAGGGCATCTTATATGTGTTTGATTTCACATCATGTCCTCCTCCCCTTATAACTGGTATGTGGGCTTGCTATTATCTTCACTCATGATATCTCAGTCTTACTAATGGTCGACTGGGAGCAGGATTTCCATAGACCTGCACCTCCTCCATTCTAACTACCACTGTAACCATATTATACCTGCACTTTCAACACTGGTCTTCCTGTCAATGATTCAGTACAGTCTGTCCTGCATTTATTTAAGTACACAAAGGTCAGTATTCAGACTGCTACTCTGACTGTTCTCAAGCTGAGTAATGTTCATGCACTGAACCTCCACACAGATTCCCCATAGCAGTTGAACGGTTTATTCAAGGGTGTTTTCTCTTATGTTTGTCCACTGGCTGGACCCAGTTAAGGTAGGTTTTGACACAAATCACATCCACACAGCTTTTCTCACAGCGAGTGCAGGAGTATCTCATGAAACCTTGGGTTCACTAACTGGCCTATCCGAACATCATCAGCATTCAAGTTCAGTCATGGCCAACTGGCCAATTATCTGAACATCATCAACATTTAAGTTTGGTCATGGCCAACTGGCCTATTATCCAAACATCATCAGCATTCAAGTTGGATCATAGCCAACTGGCCTATCCAAACATCATTGGGATTCAAGTTCATGACCAACTATCCTATCCGAACATCATCAGGATTCAAGTTGGGTTGTGGCCAACTAGCCTATCCAAACATCATCAGGATTCAAGTTGGATCATGGCCAACTGGCCTATCTGAACATCATTGGGATTCAATTTCATGGCCAACTGGCCTATCTGAACATTATCAGCATTCAAGTTCAGACATGTCCGACCAGCGTTCAGTAAGTAGCACATTCATCTTTGCATGTGTTCAATTGATGGATTGTGTCATCGACCAGACCTTCCATGAACCGACAAAGAGTCTATCATCCTGGGGAATTCTCAATTATACAAGGGTCTGTGATCAGACAATCAACTCTGGTTCATAATGAACTGTTCTGATATGCATGTGAGGTACTAAGGTTCACCAATTTAAAGTTTTTATCTTGTGAGGGAGGCAATCATGCCCACTAATATTATAATCTATCAACATGTGGCCTTCAGTCATGCCCTTGTTTATGTTCCCCACAGCAGTTCGCCCTACACTGAATCACTCCAAAGATGTAATAAGATTTGGAGTTACATCTAGTGGCCTTGAGGTACCAGGGAGTGTGTGAAATTATATATAAGGTGTGTCACACCATTTTCTCCTTCTCTGCCTTTCCACTGAACGTCTAACAGTCTGAGAAATGTCTCATCTCTCAGTACAGGTGTTGGACAGTAATTCAGATGACAACTTTGATGAGGGCGACATTGATGAAGTCACGATTCCAGGGCCCAATGCTTCCAAGGGAGAAATCATGGAGGTACTTAGCAACTAACTTTATCTTTCTATGTCATACTCAATATGTTCTCCTCAGGCACTCAAAGTCCTGCAACTTCAAGTTCAGCATTTGCACGAAGAAAATTGTGCCCTTAAAGAGAACAACAAGGTCCTCCTTGCTGAGAAGCCCAAACAGAAGCAGCATGTAGAAGCACCTGACGAACTTGTTGCTCATGAGCAGACCATCTCACTGTATGCTCATAAATACAGCATGACAGTGGAGATGTTTCTAGACAATGACCTTATCACCAAGAAGTGCCCAGATTCACCTACATTGTTCAATAGCAACGACCATTACAAGACCACTTTGACCCAAGAATCCGCTTTCTTGGATGAACTATATGCTCATTTCCCATAACATGTCCATCAAGCCATGCAAAGTGTATACTTCAAGGACCTCGTATGTCACACATTTTGTTCTGTTCTAGTTATCATCTGACATATCCTATAACTGTTGTAGGTCAATAAGTGCATCAGTGATGCTTGTTCTAACAAGATCAAAAAATTATGTGGTGTCATGGGAGATATATTTGACCTTCCAGCGAAATACTTTGCCAATCCCAGTCACAACAGAGCCAGCATCATCAAAATCCAAAAGATGCTTGGAGTGTCTGGCAAGATGCAGACTTATAAAATATTTCTGCATCTCTTGTTCCCAGGTCTGCAAGAAGACGCGACCCTGAAGACTGTTTTCGGCAATTGGATACTTTTTGCTAAGGTGTGCTATCATTCGCTCGCATAGTTCTATCATGTACCCTACTTATTATGGTCTATCTAGATTCTGAGAGCCTTGCTACATGGCGTCACCTTGCTTCATCAAGAACCTTGTGGTGGATTGAAGACTAATGCTCAGAAGTGGAACTTTCAACAAGTCACGCCAGGGTCTATCACCTGGGCAGCAGTTATGGTATGTTATTTATATTTGCATCAAAAGTCTACTGATTTGCTTTAACACAGGCAATCTTTCTACTCTCACCTGACACGGAGTTTCTGGGTTCAAGAGTGGGGAAATTGTCAACCATTAACTACAGAGACCTGTTCTTTCAATACAAGAAGCTGCTTGTTATGAAGTGGGACATGAGACACATCAAGAACATTGTGACCAGTATCGACAACCACATTTTTGGCACTGCAAAATTGTCTACCTTTCATCTCGCCGGTGATGAAGACTTTTCAGAAGAAATCAATTGAGCGATGCTTGCACTCGACATGTTGTCAGACAGCAAAGCAGACGAGGCTCCACTGGCCTCATCAGCAATCTCAGCAGTCTCATCAGCAGCACCTGACAGTCAAATCATCATCCAGCATGAAGAACAAGGATCAGTATCTCAAGCTGCTGCTTGTACTAATGTCGAAGTGGTAGCTGGCAATGTAGATGACTTAGAAGCCTGTGATATCGGTTCAGATATAGGCAGGGGTCAAGGGAAGGCAAAGAGGGGGAAGAGGCCAATAGCTGAGGGCGCTCATCATGGTCGTTCCTGTAAAATGTAGATGATAGTTACTATTAGCGATCCTCACTTGATCAAACATTTTAATGTTTAAATACATGGTATTTGATCTAATATTGACTCTGCGTCCGACTCAGAATCAAGGCAATTCAAATTCAGATGCTTACATAACAATGAAGTTGCAACAAATATTGTCAGACAGTTCGCTTTCAGACTTGAGTAATAACAACCATGTTACAGTCAATTCCAATGGACCCTTTTGCACAAACTCTTGCTACCGCTTATTGAGTGGTCCTTTCTTTTTGCTTTACTTAAATTCCCCTCCCTATGAAGCCTGGTATGGCCACCTGCCCCAAGGCTGAGTAGTGGAGTACCACTTCCCCTTCCACCATATCTACACATTTTGACCGTGTTTTTTTGCTCACTTTCTATCTAGAATATGTCCTGACCACACCCACTCTCTCACCTGCCTTCGCATTCTCACTCGCCATCACATCCTATGCATCCATAACCCTTCAAGTCTGTCGGTACTTTTCCCACCCTTTTCAAATCCTCCCATTCTCACCTGCCTTCACATTCTCACCCGCCCTTTCTCACCCACGCACACGACTCACTGGACGCCACATCACCAATCCTCCTTTGAGCTCAAGCCATGCTGATCCAAGTTGGTGCCCGCAGTTTGCAGTTCATGAATCCATCAATCCTCCTTCTACTCGAGCCATGCTGATCAAAGTCCTTGTCTGCCATTCGCAGCATGTTGATCCTCCTTTGAGCTCTTCAAGTCTGTCAGTACTAAATTGCCTGCCCTTTTCTCACCCACCTCCCATTCTCACCCGTCACCTTTGCATTCTCACCTGCCCTCACATTCTCACCCACCCTTTCTCACCCTGAAACCTCTGGCCGTCCATCTGATTGAGCGCAGTAACCTAGTAAGTAAGTTTTATTATTCATTTTGTGCTTCTCTCCCTGGCCAACATGCCTCTAGGAGGTGACTTGGACCAGAGGTCATCAGGCTGTGAGGACACGCCTCTAGGAGGTGACTCTAAGCATTTAAGCCTGACGGCTTATAATTATATATATATTGTATCTATTACTATCATGTGTACTAACATATTTTGGCTCTATTCTAGACGGTCCTGATCCCCCAGTTCTCACCCCTCTCATCAACCAGGTGCTTCTCCCGTCCCATCAACAACCCCACTCATAAGAACAACAACCACAACCACAACCAAAGATTCAGACACCAATTTGGGTCAGTCTACTAGTATTCACAACCTCCAAGAGCCAAGTGCACAGACGGCATGTGATGTGGCACAAACAAGCCAGGATGGAGGGAGAAGGTGGAGAAGGAGTCAGATGATGGAGGTATAGTTCCTTGGAGATACGGAGGAGCAGGAGTAGAGATATATGGATGACAGCAAGTTATTAGTACTATTATTATTATTATTATACAAATTTGTCTGTTAGTATTGGAATATCAAAATGACAAATAAAACATTACAATCTACAACCTGCTATTTAACATTGCAACCATCTGTTGCAGCTCCCAGCCAAACAGCTCATTACAATGACTAAGATTGATTGCCATACATTGCAATGGCAATTGCCATTGCAACCATCATTACAATTGGATTACAAATGCGACTCTGCTATTGTAAGCACTTTCAATTTATGTTTGGTCTTTGAATGTTGAATTGCCTTAAAAGGTACTGAAACCCAAATTAGAAATTTGGGACATAGTTTGTGCATGATTTAATCAAAGAACAACTCCCCAAACATCTGAGCATGTCCTTGTGAGTCTGTAAACATGCAGTCAAGCAATTGTTCCAGCTTTCCTGTAGAGTTTCCCTTCTCCTGCATAGAGCAGTTGTGTATGTGATCACCATTGAAGGTGAATTCAATCTCTGAAACTTTGAGGATTGATAGCATAAAGTCAAGAGTTTATATATGACCTTCTTGTAAGATCTTGAGAACAGACTTGATATGTTTGTGTGGTGAGAGTCTGGGAGAAGTTGGAACAGCCTCAGAGGTGTGTGGTACTGTGATATAAATGAAGCCAGAGTCCAACAAACAGTTGAAATCACTATCCAGAATGATCAAAGAGTCTCACATAATGTTGCAAGCAGTGATAGACTGAAGACAGTAATAGAAATAGCAATAATTAGTAGAAATAAGTTACATGTGTGATGGAACATCCATTGAATGATGCAGCCTGGCAGCTAACACACTTGACATCAGGAAAAATCTAGATGAGAATATAGGGCTCTGTAGGCAACATAGCCTCTGTAGCCCCGTCGTCATCCCCCCAATCTGTAGAGCAATGTACCTCCCGAGGACTCTACAGAGCGCTATGACATGCCATGTAACATGAGAGTGACGAAATATATCTGTCATAGCGCACCTGTATGTAGCACAATGTAGTTATATATTTCAATATAAAATTACATATCTCCCTGAGCCTCTATCCCATCCCTCTCGTCCTGTTCCTCCTCCTCGTCCTGCAACTCCTGCTCATACTCCAGAAGAGCATCATTGAATGCTTCCTCAGTCACACGGGACCCAATTGACAACGCGAGGAGGAAGTCTACACCTGCATGAAACCTTCAAGTTGCCATTAGAACTTCTATAGTAGTCTTGATTGAATGAAGACTCACCTAGCTGCGTCGTGCAGATTGACACAGATTTTTTCGAGGAGTTTGTAGGGGGCCGTGTGTTCCTCGAAGTGCTGCAAGGAGTCGAGATGGGTGTTGTAGACAGATGCATAATTTGCTGCTGAGAACTTGACATCTTCTTTGATACCTGTACCCCACTCATCAATGCAACATTCAATCTGTCATTCGTCAGTGTTGCTAACATCAGAAAAGTGGTCCTAGTACTCACAGACGCCAGCAAGAGTGCCATTGTTTTGACAGGCAAAGGGTTGAAGTACTGGTGGTAAATGATGCCCTCATCATTGCGGTTCGCAAACCACATGTGATTGACACCCATTTGTAATAAGTCCGTCTTGTAGATTCCCTGCTTGGACTCCCAGTCCTAGAATCGCATGAGTTCAAACAACAAATAATGTAGATGATCCATCACACACCTTGTAAGCAAACAGCGAACCCTCCTTGAGAGATTCTGCACGATCACGATTGCGCCTAATCACTTCCCTACTGTCATTTGCACGAAAGCCAAAAAATGACCCTGTCAGCGATTGCATCTTGGCCTTCAGCTCGCCGCGGACATGAGAAGTTCTCTTCAAGATCTAGATCACGATGAATGAGTCCAACACAATCACAAGATTAGACAGCTCACCATTTTCATTAACCCAGGTGTTAGTCGAACATTGATCCCTTTGGTGCTGCATGCTTCACGCCAGGCCTCCTTAGCTAGCTTCATCTCAATGAGGATCGAGTCTGGAAATGGTGCGCGAGTGACAACCAGGCACCGGAAAATTGTGATCGCAGTAGTGAGAATCTCCTTCGTGATATCATCAAAATCGCTGGCCTTCAAGCGCTGAGCTGAGCCGTCCATACTTTTCTTCACCTTCGGCATGATAGGGTCTTCAAATTTTGTGTCTGAGGGCCGCTTGATGCCCAAAACGACAGGTTCACGTTCACCAATTGAGTCTCCATCACTGTCACCGTCCTCTAAGTCATCCTTGTCTGCATCAGGATCATCAGCCCACTCATCCTCACTATTGTGGAAAGTAGGGTGGCGTCCTGGATGAGTAAGGCTGCCATCTGACATGGAGACTTCGCCACTACTCACCGCAGTCGAAGATGACGATGAGCCTGGGATTCAAGTGTTAGTAGTAGCTAGATGTACATTCTGAACATGCACCTTTATAACCCTTTATGAGGCTGTTGCTTAAGGACTTGCGTGCAGAGCTTGCGTTGCGCGAAACTGGTGTGAGAGTAGGTGGTATCTTCCCAGTACTAAAGGAAAGCTTGCTATGAACATTTCGATCTGTGAACTAATTATGATTCATCAATCAGTGATCATCTATGGCTGAGGACAGAGAGACGTACCATAGTGTCTTCATCAACGTCAGCGTCACTAAGGAGTTCCGCAGGCTCATTGTCGAAAACTTCAGGATGATGTTTGAAGACTGTGCGAAGTGCCTTCACAGTCCTTTGGTCGGTCCTTTGTTTTTTCTGTTCATGGCGTCGTTCAACATGTTGAACTTCAGAGACTAGTATATTTGGCTCAGTTAAAATCTCTGAGAGCAATTGGGACTTACTTCGATAATTTTCTTTCTCTGTGGGACGGCGTTGATGACCACTGGATGTGCGCATGGGTGATTGTCCAAGGCGGGTTGGTATATCCTTGGATCCTGCTTTGGAAGCACCTGGTGCAGTGCGCTGAGACTTCGAGAGTAATCTGCCAGCCATAGAACAAAATTTTAGGTTAAGAGACGATCAGGTAAAATTTAAATGTGAGGAACATACCGATTTTTATGTGCATGACAACATGCACGCAGCGCGTCAACAACACGCTCTTCCAAACTTTAAGTCTGTTGAATTGAATAAAAATGATCTTCGGGTGAATCAGGAGTCTGCAGCCTATAAGAAGGTGAAAACATACCTGCAATGTTCAATCCCATAACTGCATCCATTCATCCATTGAGTTGCCCTGCCATGGATCAAGTAAACCTCTTCAAGCAGTATGAATGAGTCCGATTTCAAAACACTTACCATGATCTGACTTGATATCTAGATCATGCACGCCATCAGCAGACTTCACCACAGAGCCGATAACATTCAAATCGAACCTAAAAAAGTGCGTCAATTCATGTTTGCATCCTCACAATTACTAATCAACTTACAGGTGAAAGCTTGTCCGCAGAATTCCGTTGCCAATTTACTATGACAACGGGGCAGCCTCATCTGCCACACCAAGTCCCCTTCCTGCTCCTACTCCAAGCCCCCTTCCCGCTCCCCATCTCTCGGAAGTACCTGAGACACCTACCCCCCGTTGTAGAGAATTATGCCTCTCATGGCGTGATATGGTGCTTTACACTAGGAAGTACATAGCACGAACTTGTAGCGTCACTCTGTG